TATTGCCGAACCTGCACTCATGTGAGACATGGATAAGCTAAGGCAGTACTCACACATGCAGCTATGAAATGAAGACCAACATGACAACTCGTACGAACTGAAGCTCGTCATGCTGACTCTGTTGCTGTGATCGATCTCCGTCACCCTCAGTGTGAGCCAAAGCGTCCGATGCTCATGAACCAAGGCTTGATGGGTCGTACTCGGCTTCTGCAAGCATCTACTGAACCGGGTCCCGGAATGCCAGTCTCTCAGGCAATGGCGATGGGCCGTAAGGGAATGACAGGATGGCGCAGCAGGGTTCTTGCTGCACATTAAGGACTGGAAACAGCATTTTCACCGCTGCGGACATGGCTGGCCGGAACAGCTTCATTTTTGTGTCAGGCGTCTAACATCACTGCTGAATCACTGAGTGTCGGTGCGACGTCTCGAGGTAATCTCGAGCCAGTTCAGACGTTGCCAGACGTGGGGGCGGGGTTGTGATTGTTGTATACTGTAGTCGGTGTTGTTGCCGGTATGGTTGGCAGGAGCCTGCTTCACTGTGCTAATTGGGTTCTAGGCGCAAAACCAGAGTCTAGACACTCGCAATTCGCGAAACAGTCGTAGGCCAGTCATAACAAGTGCCTCCTGGAGCCTCATGATCTCATGCCTCCGCGAACAGCCGGGTCCGAATTCCGGAAGTTTCAGCGAAGCATGACCAGCACTCCGAAGTAGGCGATAGGGTTTTCAGAGCTCTGCGAGGTGAAAGGGGCAGAGCTGGAGCAGACGACACAGCCGATGAACCAAACTGGCAGCTAGGACCTTCTGCAGCTGCTGCTGCTGCCGCTGTTGTTGTTGGTGTTGCTGCTGGTGCTGGTGTTGGTTTTGGTGTCGTTGGCGGCGGCGGTGGTGGCGGCGGTGGTGTTTGTTGTTGTTTGTTGTTTGTTTTTGAGTTTATGTTGCTTGTTGTTGTGTGCGTTCTGTGTTATGTGATTCTTGCTCGATGCCACTCGCTGCCAGAAGCGCCTTAGCCCATGCACGAATTAACAGCCTTGGCTGGACGCCAGCCAGCAGGCTCCTTGGGAGCCGCTTTTTCGGGCTTTTAGGTAGACAAGTCACCCTCTTCGGCGTCTCGCGTCAGCCTCCTTGGAGCAGCCATCCTGAGCTGCCCGTCCTGAGACTCCCTTGCCACGCATTGCTGGTGGAGGTGCCCAGCAAGTGTTATGTGATTCGACTCTTACACTCGTAGGCAGGCAAGGCTCCACGTAGTGTTGTGTGTGTCGAGTGTCGGGCGTTGGGCGTTGTGTGTCGTGTGCTGTGTAGACACACCACCACAACCCCACCACCCACGACAACAACAACAAAAGAGAGAGAACAAAAAGCTGTCAGTCATATTCTGCATCTTCTGTTCCCTCTGCCCCCGCTTTACTAGCCCAAGGCAGGCCACGGGCTATTGACTGTAATTGGCGCCGGGAAAGACTCATTCGGGCTTCCTTGACAGTGCACCATCACATGTGCATGGAACTCTGCACTGACAGTAAAAATGCACTCTGCCCATACTCCCAGCTCCCCGATTCATGCCCCGTTTCGATCTTCTCCGTTGTCTTCACTTGCGCAAGCTCGGCGTCCATGGCCTTGACTTGTTATGCATTAGCAAATCAAGAGTAATCAAGCGTTGTCCATATTGCTCTCGAGCTCGCCTTCTTCTTTGCTGCGTATGCTTCGTCAAGCAGCTGCGACACTTCCTTCTGGAGTCTGGAGACCTTGTTTCAGGGAAAAACAGCATTTCAGCCACATGCTTCGGCTGCTTATGCATCCAGCACAGAATCTGCACGGCAAGGATCTGTAACAGGATCGCTGAGTCAGACGCTTCCCCTCGCAAGGTTGACTCTGTTTGCTTCCGCTGCTGCAGTCCACTATCATCGCTGTTGTCCTGTGCACTCGGTGCACCCCCAACGCTCGCGTGGGCCGTGAGCTCCCCATCTTGGGTCCTCCCAGGCTGCCAGCCGCTCGTAGAGCTCGTTCTCTGTGAGGCCACGCGCCTGCGGCGAGCGGACAGGCGGCTAGGCGGCCAGGCAGCTTTATTCCTGCTTCGTTACGTACAGTCGGTCTACACGTATCCATTCGGCCGGCCTGTCCTCAACTTGTCTCATACTGCGGGCTTAGGTTTCCAGAATTTCGTCTACGGGCTATTGCCGGACATAGTTGCACATGTTCTCAGAGCAGGAGGCAGCGCCTCATAATGTACATCCCAAGCATTCAGAAGTCATGCATGCTTGTTTTTTGCCGACCACCCACCTCCCGGAACAGGCGCTGCAGCAGCTCGCTGTCCAATCCTTCTGCTTGATTCAAGGCCTCTCAGCGGCATCCAGGCTGACACTGCACAATGCATTGGCACGCAAAAGAAGAGGGCCTTCGACAGGACGTGAGATTCCGCGCCTGCATATTCCGGTCAGATGCAAACTCCGCACACATTGCTGCAGGAGTCAATGTGGCCAAGTGGCCTGGCTTCGGGGACACCTGTGGTATATGGGCAATCGGAAGAAAATGCCTGCAACCTGTTAGTCTTAGGTCGCGGTCTTGGTGGGGACCGGGTCTCCTTTTTTGGAAAGGACTTGCAGCTTCTGAAGCCAAGGATCTTCCCTGCCGGCATGCGCCCCAGGCACATGAGGCCGCGGCCGAGGGCGGCCGATCATCCCCCATTTTTGGTTCTTCAGCTCTCCTTTGTCTCTACTCTGCCGCTCTGCCCTTCACGTGGCCTAAGCCTGGCGGCCTTCCCGGACTGTGCCTGAAAACCTTGCTTTTTGCCTCTTCACGAAATCCTTGGGCCGTATGAGCTGAGGCGTTGAACCATGTCTTTGACCATATATGCGAGCTGGCAGAACTGCAGCATTGCAGCATAGCCAATGCCTCTTGCTACCCGACTGCTTTTTGCGCTTGTCAGCAGACATCATCATCCACTGCATCATCATCTGTAAAGCTGACTTCCTCCTCTTCACCCTCTTCCTGGCCTTCGGCAAGTCCGGCCTCAGTAGCGATGTCGGATGCCCAGAGCTGCATCGCTGCCTCACGCGCACGTCTCCAGCGAGTCAGAACAGGAGGCTCCTGGGACGACGCGGCCGGAAGCGGTGGAAGAGGAGGGGGTTCGTCGACGTCTGTCTCGCCACTCTTCACCTCTGTCGTGGCATCCGGGCCAGCCTCGCCCTCAAAGAGGGCTTCACGCACAAATTTGCGAACAAACGGGCCGGAATCCTGCCAGACCGAAATCTGGCCACGCCCGCCCAGCTGACAGCAATATCTCAGCGCTTCCAAAAGCTTTCTTTCCAAGATTCCTTCCGATGCTGCTGGGGGCAGCTCGCACCCCAACGGGAAATCTTGCTCAAAGGCAGGTGCGAAGGCTATGTACTCGCCGACGAAAGGGTTGTGGCGATTAGCTGCTTGAAGTCGTTGCAACACCTCTGCCTTTTTGCCCTCGCGATCCTTTTTTTTGCAGTCTTGTAGAACATGGATTTTAATGTAGCTTAGAAGAGCCAAGGAGTAGAGCCCGACCGTTGCAGCCTCTCTTTTTGCATTGCTCGCAGCCTCAGCATCTGCTCCCATTTCAAAAAGGGGACCCTTCAGCATCGATGATGCTTCTTCCGTCATCGCACGATCCATGTACAGAGCCAGCAACGGTGTGCGCACCTGAAAATCGGTATCGTCTGGAGACATGTCCAGTGCCTCTTGGAGTAACTTAATGGCCGATCGCTGTTGGCCGGCTTCGGTCTGCAAGCCTGCCAACTCCAACAAGATTCCGCGCCGCTCTTCCCCAGGCTTTGCAGCTGGACCTCGGGTCAGTTGCCTCTGTAGCAGCTTAGTACGCAAACGCTGACGTGTCTCGTTGATTGCCTCTTCCTTTCCATGGGCACGGCGTCTTCCTCGCGACGCTCGCGTTACCTCCTTGGCTTCATGCCGAGCCTGCTGGCGGACACTCTCGGCCTTGGCCTTTCCCTGGCTCCGGCCTTTTGCCTTCGCCTTTAAGCTCTTCACTGTTTGTACAGGTTTCCCCTTTTTGCCGCCTCCGGACTTCTTCCCCATGCCACCAGTGAACTAGTGGACGGCTATGACTACGCTTGCGTGTTGAGCGTGGTCTTGGAAAGGTTAGCATATGCTAGCAGGCTCACTACGCAATACAGGCCGCTGCGCTGGACATCAACTGTCATTCTCGTTGCTTGAAGGATCTGTTTACATCAGCTGCAAGCACACAAGGAGCACAACGAGCAAAAAGGCCGCTACACCCTGAACACCCGCTGCTTCGGCGTCGCGAGATGACAACTTGGATTTGAAGCAAGCGGCTTGATTGTTGAATTTGATCAGTTTTGGATACTGGGCGGGTGTCCTGTTGCACCATCAAGACATATCAAAACAGTCCAATGCCCTCAAGTGCGGCCAAAATACTATTAAATAGAAGCTGCGACTCCTGCAATTCTCTGTCTCTGCTAATTTACGAAACCACCGCTGCCTAGGAAGTGCTACACGAACCCGCCCCACTCTCTATGAAGCTTTCAATCGGGCAATGGCGCAGTTTTTTTGTCGCAAAGCTGGCTGACACTGAAAAGTCAAAGGCCTGCACACATGTGTCCAAAGCGCAGGATTCCGTAAGCTCGTGATGGCCTTTGTCTGCAGGGCCTGAAACTCTTGGCGGAGTGCGAGCACCGAAGGTAGATCTCAAGGGCGACGCCAGGTAAGCATAGACAGCACTTGTGGAGGTCCAGGGAGTAGAGGAAGGTGACTTCGGCAAGGCCGAAAAGAATCCAGGCATCGCGCAATGTCCAAGTCGGTATGTGTCGCTGCACATAAGGAATCGGCAACAAGCACGGCCCTCGTCGGAAGTCTCGGATCATGAGACCATCCGGAATATCCTCGATTCACAAGTAGTGAAAGAGTCACGGAAAGGCTGCCCTCTAGCGCTCAGCGGTCTGAGGAATCACAAAATCAACACATTCGGTCTTACCACCAAGCTGCGGAGCAGCACGAGCCACGCATAAACATTCAACCCGCGCTCTGCCCTTCATGTGTTCCTGTAGTTTCTTGCGGCCGATCAAACCACCAGAACAACCAATCAGTGGATAGTGTCACGATCTTGTGGTTTTGTCTCCTTAGGTCAGGCTGACCATGCGAGACGTCAATCAGAGATTTCTTACGCCCAGCCCTTGAAGAGCCAGGTTGCTACAGCCTACATACAAGTTTCAGGGAAGCTCTTTGCAGGCTGCAAATCGAGTAACTGCTCCTGCACTGCACGCACAACACCAGGCCATTGGGGCGAGAAGTCATGGCCTGCCACCAAAGTCTCAGCTGTAGCACGCAGCTTCGGCATCCAAGCAGCGAAATCGGATTTCACCTCGGAATAGCACCAGCGCCCTCATCGAGTGGTGTACTGTTGTCGCATGTGCTCCAAATTTGTCCGGGTGCCGGTAGAGGTTGACCCAAAAGCTAACGGCATTGTTGTTGTGACATGTTGCGCATACAGCTGGGAAAGGAGCTGCCATCTGTGGATTAAGAATCTTGCGGTGGCACATTCTTCTTAGGGTGGATTGCATCTAAGCCAGTGAGTTGTGGTTGCTCAGCCCAACATGCGGCGTGCTTAGTGCACTCGAGCCTGCACATGCTCTGCACATTAGTAAAGGAAAATGACACTTGTCACTGCGATCTGGGGGACAATCCATGGGGCTCCTGAAGAACGAAACATGCAGCAGGGATGCGCAATTGTAGTAGTGGCAGCCATCGATGAAGACCGCATCGATGCTGTTGTCAGGCAGGGACTGCGCAGCTTCGAGAGACGTTGCTCGTAGAAGCAGCGCCCTCACAACATTCAGAAAGTGACGAAAAGGAACCATGTCAGGCGGCTTTCCAGGGAGGTGTCAAGAAAGAGTTTGTACCGGACAATCCTGTCAAGTTAGATCTGAACAGGTGACGCGAAACCCGGCCTGTCGCCGAAAGAAGCATACAACTTGGAAGCATGATGGAAAGCTACCTCCGGATGTAGTTCCGAATCGAAGTTGCCAGGAAAGGTGCCATCGGCACCCAAATACGGATCAACGCCAATGAGCTGCACGAAATCGCAGTGATCCTGACAAGACATCAAGCTGCCGGCTGCGTGTCCGAAGCAATTCCGTCTAGCTTCTGCGCGACGATCGTAGGCAAGCGTCAAGAATGAACTTCGACAGCTGCCCCAAAAAGACCCCAACTTCAACGATGATGAGGCTCCCTCCTCCTCTGCGAAGGCGCAACTCCTGCGCCAGAATGGCAGGTGTTGCCACTGCAGCTCGACACAAAAGCTTTTGAAACTTTTATGCTTTGTTGTTGGAGTGCGCAACTTCTGTTTTGCCAAGATACCTGTAGAAGGGCTACCAACACAGCAAATCCTGATTCGACCAGGCAAAGCAGTCTATAGCAGACTTGCTGGCTCGGAAACTCGGAACTTCAAAACTTGACAGCATGCGAAGCAAGCCAAGGCACGCATGCCAGTGAACCGCGTCTCCTGCAATACAAAGCTTGGCGAAGGACTGAAGACGGAGAAAGGACCTGTACACGCCCTGACGACTGACAACTACCTAAATTTCACCAAATTAACAGGGCACGCCATGCTTGCCGAGCATCTTGCGTGAGAACATACTCGGGCCCAGGTATCACAAGAGGCGACTCTGTGTTGCAGTCAGTCGTACCAAAGCGCAGCCACTCATCTGGCTGCCCCCAGGCAGTGTGCACAACTCTGCCCGCTGCAACCGAGTCGGAGAGCCACTGCCACTGCGTCTCGCGCCAAATAATGACTGTCCTGGCATACAGCAGCAGCAGCAGCAGCAGGATGTGATGTCTGTCGAATCGTCCTTTAGACAAACTAAGACGAGTTGCGACCAGTAGTACGTCTGCTTGGTTGTGAAGCCTTTCGGCAGGAGGGCCGCCCCAGAACACGCACTATATACCAGCGACAGCTCACTGAATGTTCGCAGAACGGGCCAGGAAATGGCTCAGTTGCGACCACGTCACGCGCCCCTCTCCATGATGAGGGCAGTCTGCTCTGGCTATGGGGCCCGGTCAACTCGGCGGCTAACCCCTGTCAAAAACTGGACCGTCACAAGCTGTACCGTCACGGCCAACTACAATTTGCTGGCTTCGCCTCCTCCAGCGCTTGCACTGTTGCCATGACGGCAGTATTCGCGCCTCGCATGTCAAGGACTCGAGTAAGCTCTCTCTCTCTCTCTCTCTGTTTTTGTTCCAGAATTAAAAGCTAAGTGGCTGCCCCAGCTGCGCGTACTTTGCGCTGCACGTGACACTCTCTGAACCCCACCTACCTGCCTCATCCCTGCCTGTATTCCGAAAGGAAGCAGAAGCCTCGGAATACGGTTAAGCAGCGGGGTCCCTCTTTTAATCATCGTGGAATGCTTCATGTGCTCTACGCTTGCAGTGAGCACTTGTGCTCGTTTCACTTGGGGGTGCGCACCCTTTTGAAAGAGCGTAGTAGTCAACAACAACAACAACAACA